GGGAATCATTTTGGATTTGCACGATACACAATGCATTGTCATGTTGTACGAACCTAGTTATTGGAACCAACTGCCTGGGTTCTCCATCTTGGGGGTATTTGAAGCAGTGACTAGATGGCCCATCTGTCAGTGATACTTTAAAATGGAATCCTGCACTGATGAGGTTAGACTCAATTGACTAAATGCCCCTTTTGAACTCCATGTTTCTGAAGATGCGAAGAAAGGTGGTTTTCCAACAAAAAATGGGTGGTTAGTCTTGATAACAATTAGAGAAAAATGCTTGAGCACAACTCTAAAGATACCCAGATAAATCGCCAGTGTAAGCTAAATGTAAATACCATCAAATATCATCTTCTATTTTCTGTACAAAGAAGGCTGTTAGCAGGCTTCTGGAAGACAAGTCAGAGCTTCTTCCCTTAGCTCTGGTTGCAATCCTTTCCACCAGTTCCTCTGCCTCTAATACAGTCATTCCCTCATCCCATTATTTCATTAGCATTAACTCTGCTCATTGCTATTTGTGTACTAGTCTCGGGGGTGGGGGGAGACCCCCAAAGTCAAACCAGTTCTTGTAAACAAACTTTCAGACCAGGGGGATAGTGGGATTAGATCTTTATTCATGCAATAGGATAAAGAAAGGATATTTCCTATGAGGAAGATCAATAGTAGGATATTTCTAATGAGGAAAGCTATCACTGCCCAAAATATGGTGTTTTCTGACATCATACAGTATTCTCATTACTTTAAGAAATGGCAGTGGAGATAAGATGGTTGTTCAATTGACTGAAATGCCACTATCAACTTTGCAGGATTCAACCAGGCTCAGGGTCAGAGATAGGAAAGTTTAGAATGATAGTAGAGTTATCTGAAGAGAAAGCTTCCTGTTTTTTGTCAACATTTTTGTTGTTGTTTTTATGCTAGAAGTCTGAGTTTCTGCAGTTTTTTTCTCTGAGAAGCTTATACTTCTGTTCCAGGCAGCCCCAAAGTGCAGAGGCCAAAGTGAAGCAGGATTTATATGTTATAAATCTATGGGCTCAAGCTATTCCAAACTCCCTTCTGGTTTTCCTAGAGATTTTTGCCAAATAAGTCTTAAAGCAACAATAATGCATACTCTATATCGGTGGTTCCCAAACTGTGTTCCATGGAACCCTAGGGTTCCACAAAAAATCTCAAAAATCAAATTTAAAATGGAATTTAATATGAACCCACAGAAGGCCAACTAGTTGATTGTCAGTTGGCGTCCAGCAACAAACAAGGAAATGCATCAGCTCATTTGGTTCCCAGGACTCTGTTGTGTAGTGTTGGGAATAATGAAAGAATTCATTTGGGACGTTACCATGTAATTGCTTTATTCATTCATTATTTAAAATGTTTTCTCTTTTTTTCCAAACCTATGTTATGCAAAGCACTCAGGTGACAGGAGCAGATGAAAGAAGGAAGAACGTTGAGGGTTCACAATCCTTAGTAAAAAGCAGGGATAGAGTTAGGGTTCTGGGGGAGGGGGGGTGTCTTCAGAAAGATTCCATGGCTGAGAAAAATTGGGAACCGCTACTCTATATAGGGAAAGGGTAGTAGCCTGGTAGAAGAATTGCACATGCTTTGAATGCAAAAGGCGATAGGCTGAGTACTTGGCAAGGCTGGGGAAGATTGTCAAAAACCCTGGGAGCTGCTGCCACTCATGCAGACATTTGAAAGGCCCAAGAAAGAACAACCCAGGTATATTCCAGGAGATTTTTGGAAATAGCTTCCAGTGTTCCTAAATACAGGAAGGTTTGTAAATAGCCATTTTTCTGGTTGCCTGGGGGGGTTAAAGTTTGCCTCCTGCTGTCTGAACCAGGAGGCAATCTTTACCAAAGTGCAAAAATGTGTGGACAAGCAATCAAGTCAGTCATTTGAGGACTGGTAACCTTTGTGAACTTATTTGCATGGCTGCATCTTGTCTAAAGAAATTCTAGTTAGTTATCTGAGTTTCAGTCTATTAATTGATTTATCTTGGAAATTCAAGCCTTCCTTCTTATTTCCATGGTTTTCATTGTTGTCTACATTTGGGTTTGTTTGGAAATGCTCTTTCAGTTGAAAGCATCTTGCTGCCAATGAAAATGGTTACTAAGGTAATTGCTAGCTACTCCTGCCTGCTTTGCCTCTAGTAGAAGACAAGTCCTTAGAGGGACATTACATTCTCTAACTGATGGAACACTCTTGCAGTGAGCCAAAATGTATGCTATACTTATCAACATCTGAACTTCTGGCTCAGACAGCAGTCAGAAACCTTCCTCCAATTATTTAAAAGAAAATTAAGAATAGGAATCAAGGCTATAAATAGGGTTGTTGATCTGTTGAGAAGGACTATAATAATTCACTTTATTTTGAATTAAAAGTGGATTATTCCACTATGATCTCAATGAAACTATTTGGCTTATTACAGGATTCTACCAACCTGCGCATTGGACAGTGTTCATTTTCTTCCTGACTCATCCATGAATTTGCTTTCACACTGATTCTTTGGTTGCTAAAATTGTGAGAGAAAGTGGAACATGTTGGCTTGAAATCATTAACTGTGTTTTATTGTGTGGTCTTACTGAAAAATGCATTCTCCAGGTAAGCAAAGTCATGGGCTGTGCCAGGCCAGCTTGCCATTACCTTTTCACTGAACTCAACTAGGATCCATGTTTAGGTGTAAAAGATCCGCTGAGTTTGCATAACACAACAACTTGCTGTGAGCAACTAACCACTCAGTAAGAGCAAACCTGTGCTACTTCCTGTAGACTGGGTTGTTCGTAGAACAAGCCAGCCTCATGACACATGGCTTGTTCTTGGGGCTGTTGTACCTTTGATGAGTTTTCCAAGCCTGGGTGACTGACCCTACTGTGGGTTCGGAGAAATGACAAGTGAGGTGCTTGGCAAGAGTGGCATAATACCCTTGCCAAACTCACCCAAGACACTGCCAGTGACAACTAATCCACTAATACACAGGTGGCATTGGCTTGGTATTCGCTGCTGTGATCACAGGTCCTGTCCCCCTTTCTGTGACTTCTGTTCTCTCTTACTCATTTTTGTTTTGTTTCAAGTAATTGCTGTTTGTGTCACTGGTTCCTCTCCCCCTGTTCTTTTTAAATCAAGGACAAGAAATGTGCACAAATCTTTTCATTGTGTTTTTAAGCAGTTCTTTAATTCTTTTTGCACAACTGCAAATATATACATTTGCAGGGATCCAAAATGGGAAGCTTTGGCTCTACAATGCCTTAGGGGATGTGTGCTGTCATAGTGTCTGAGCATTGACCAGAGAGGCTACAAATAGAATTAGTTTTTTTAGTTTGTGTTCTTGACAACTGTTAAAAAGTAAACAAGGGAAAGCAAAGACGTAATGAAAGTAGGTGATGAATAGATCACTCTTTTCACAGTACAATCCTCTAATTGTTGTGTGGTTGGACCTGATTGTTCTCAGTGTCTTGCATCTTCTCCACCTTTTGTGGAGACTCTAGATGCTTCATAGATAGACAAAATAACAACCCAATATACAGGGGCTGTCAGTTATGATGAAAGCTGTCAGAACTCCCACCACAGAAGGGTTTTTTCAGCACCCCATATTTGGAACATGCTTCCCAAAGAGGTACACCTGGTGCCATCTCTTTTTTCTTTTCAGCACCAGGTAAAAAACTTCTTTATTTTCCAGATATTTAATTGTTAGTTTTAATATGTTCTTATCATTATTGCTGCTGTGCCATGTGTTAATTTGATTATAGTTGCTGTGCATTGTTGCTGTTGTATTGGTTTTATTGTTTAATGTTTTACCAAAATATGGTGTTTTTTATTGCTTGTTTATATGCTTCTTAACTTTGCAAACCACCCAATGAGTGTTTGGGTTATGGGGCAGTATAGAAGTGCAGCAAACAAATAGCAACAATGTTGGTTACCTTGTAAAATGGGGTCTTTGACAGGGCTGATCATGGGTTTTTTTAAATAGCGATATATACATATACGAACATAGTTATGGAATTTTCAGAGGCTGAAGAAAGCATCCCATCCTCAATTAAGCTTTTTTGAAGCTCTGAAAAGAAGAAAAATGGAGGTGAACAAAAACAGGTAGCAATTGAAGTAGGAATGAGGAGACTAGCTTTGTTCTGCCACCAAGGACACTGGGATGCCAGCTGGAGGACTGAGGGAAACTGAAGGAAGGGGACAGCAAGCTACAGCGAGCCTGATCATCCGTCAGCTGTAACATGGGTTGTTCAGCAAACCCACCAGAGCTTACTCACAGGGTGGTTTAACAGGGCAGCAGAACATGCCCAATCTGATCCTTAGCATCACAGTTCTTGATGATTACAAAATAGGTACCTACCCTACCACAATGTCTCTTACCAGTAATCCCCTTGGCGAGCTTCTCGTGTGATTAATGCATGTGTTCAGTGATGGAGTCCACCCTTTCCCTCTGCATGGTTACTAAATGGCTGAATAGGGCTGCTGTGCACGGGGCAGCATGCATGGAGGGCTCCTTCCAAGCAAGCACGTTCCCAATTGACAGAGTGTGTGTGCAGATGGAGGCTTTCATGTGTCCAGCCATATACGTTAAGGTTCCTTTAGCTTAGGGAACACATGGAAGGACAGTGGTAGAGTCTTCCCGCTGCCACTCTCTGCATTTTGATTGATCACCTGAAGGGGGCCACAGTGTGTGGTCATTTAGACAACCAACAAGAGGTGGGGCATTTGTTAAGACCAGAGAGGATTAATTAGCACCTCAAGCTACTTGTAACATTTCCTTGAACCAAAGCATGCAGAGCAGTTGGTCTCATATGGATATCTCTCCTTCCCAAGTATGCAACATTTTGCAAGTTTTTCTCTCCTTATCTTCTTCTAAAACCTGGGAAAGCTATTTCTGCCAACTAGGCATTATAAAGGCCATACCATAGAACTTATTTTTTTTAATTTCTTTTTCCATTTTCCTCTAATAATTGTTGCTATTGTTAAGATTTTTTTAACATTCTAATTTGTTTATCTTTCATCAGAAAATGAAGAGCTTGGCCCAAAGACGTCAGTCGGCACCTTCCTTGGTTCTTAGCAAAGCACTGAACAAGTCCAGAACAAGTGCCAGGTGAGATGGAGCATGCTTCTTCTGGCTGAACTTTTTTCTAGGTTTCATGGGTCAGATCATAATGTAATGGGCTACCCAGTTGGGTGGTGGCATGGCAATCGAGCAGACATTCCAGTGTTCACTTTTAAAAGGATTAGCTCTCTTTAATCAAAGAGGAACGCATATGCTTTATTATTCCTTTGCCTCTGCAACAGTCCAGAGTCTTACTGATGTTCCCTAAAGTAAGATGGATTCTGTAGTAAAGATGTCAGGGTAATACTAATTAAGTGCATGGTCCATGATACATGGGTCTGAAGCTTCTCTGTGACAATCTTAAGTACAGTATTATACAGTCCAAGGGGTTCATTTCTGCCCCATCCTCGTGTAAAAGGCTTCCAGGTCTGCTAGAGCAGTGACTTTCAAACTTCCTATCGTAAAGGGACCATTTCTACACCGACTAGATTCTCCACTTTCCTCCTCTTGTTGGTGTTGTTCGAAACCCCTTTGCAATATGAAGCAGTCTGGGTAGGGTGTGGTCAGGTGACTCAGCACACTGGCCAAGCCTCTCTCACACTGGCCTTGCAGTGCATGGCTGCAGGCATCATAGGATGCTGGCAGGGCTATGTGTGCTGGAGAACCACCACTGATAATAGTGGTGAAACTGATCTTTTCGCAAATCCTGTCTGCTCATGCTTTTTACTGAGACTTTACGAATTCCCCAGGGTACAGTTAGAATTCCACTTGTTAGACTCAGAGCTCCTCATCAACTTCTGCAAAATTGCATGTCACTGTAAAGAGATTAGCAGATGATAAGATTAGCTAGCTCCTGTTGCCCAGCATTCTCTTCCTGCATTGTCCTTCTCAAAGAGTTTGTGTTGTGCTGGCTATCCTCACATGACCTGCTACTTTATTTTTTAAAAACTTCATATTTCATCTCTGTTTAGCAATCATCTGAAGCCATTTCAGCTATTCTGGCTCATAGTTCATATAAATTATAGGGAATGGATCTATTAAAGCTATTGGCAAAATTACATGGGCACATAGTTGGCCCCTTTTTAAATGAACACTTTTAGCTCAGTTTAGTTGATCCTGTCCCTCACCCTGCAGTCCTTGGGCTGTGCCCCTACTATATTTAACAAGAATGATTCGTCTTCATCAATAATCAAACAGGGAGTGTTTGGATTTTCTACCTATGTGCTCTGTAAATGCTTAACTCTTGTGAATTGCTCCCATTTATAAGCAGCAAAAGGAATAGTGAATGCCATGACCTCTGCTATGCTCAGAGCTTCAATTATTTTGTTTTTAAAGCTGTCTTAATATTAAGTGCCCTTTTGTAGGCAAAACGTTGATTTCAAGTTTAAATAGATTATAGATTTATTCTGGCACTAAATCCTAATGTTGATACTTAGTGCTGTGTCTTTTTAGTGGTTGATTAATGATCTGGAGAGGAGAAAACTCTTTTCTAACTCCATCTTATGGCTGCCTTTGGGAGCTTTATATGAAGAGTTTTTCCTTAGCAGCTGATTCATCTCACTATTTATTGAACTTAATGAGGGAGTTCAGTCAGGAAATATTTTGAAAACTTAGTAAGTTTATACTTTCATACTATTTTATAGCTCATTCTCATGTATCCTCTCCTTGCATGTACAAAAACCCACTACAGTGTAGTGTTGGCAGTTGGGCTCATCTTGGTTTTATGTAGCTGAAAGATTTTTACCAGGATTTAAGTGTTAAGCAAACTTTATTCTGACATTCGAACACGACTGATTTTAGCATTCTTTGTACAGCATAACATGTTCTAGGCTCTGATTCTGCCTGCAGTTAGAACAAAGCACTTTCCCCGTGCCATAGAGAAATGTACTTCTCCCTGAGCATTACTGTGAACGAAACAAAAGATTTGAGGACAAGACAGTAGAGTTATTAATCTGGCTTGGATGTGATCTATCCCTATTTATCTACTTGCAATAGATTTAAGTTGAATTTCAGCTTTGTTGCCAAAACTTCTTAGCTATCCACGGTGCTCCATGATGGTGAACCTATTTTGGGGATGGAATTCATCACTGTGGATAGATCCTGTAAAACTCAGAACCAAAGCTGCAGGGGATAAGGAGCCCCCCTGACTGGAGGTTTACTTTTGATATTATCAGCCCACCTTGTGTCCAAAGATGCATTTTAAAAAGCTATTCCCTCTAATGCGTTCAGGTAGGGAGCATTGTCAGGACTTGGTGCAAAATAGAGTTGTTGAGAAAGCAGACAATGGTGTTGCCATGCCTGAGGGAATTTTGACATGCCAAGTTTGCATAAGATAGTTAATCCTATCATTGCAAAATAAAAATTGGGGCGCTCTCGCTCTCGCTCGCTCTCTCTCTCTCTCTATATATATATATAGAGAGAGAGAGAGAGAGCGCGAGCGAGAGAGAAATGAAATTTGAACATGCTTAGTAGACCAAGAATGATCAGTCACTTTGGAAAAAAATAAAAACTGGGAAGGGTGATGGAGTAGATTATCTTGCTTAAACTCATTCAACTGATAAAGCATCCCAGAAGAGGGCATGTGGACTGGCACCCTAAGCAGAAGCACTTCTGATGGAGTTTACACTGCAACGTTTTGCTTCAGGTATACTTTTGTATAAATGAAAAAGGACTGTATTTGCAAGTCAAATTCAGCCCTCTGGAGATCCCAGTGGGGCCTTTGGGTTCCCTAGAAGGCCATGCCCTGGATTCAGCATCAGTTAGCTTTCCTATGTCTAGTGCTAATCTGATTCTTGATTTAAAGCAGAGAGGGAATGTTGATAATGCTGTCCAGATGTCCTTTCTGCTGCATGGTAAATCTCTGGCACTTGAAGGTTGAGGCAATTATTTATTTAGAAGAGTTATATATCACCGTTCATGATCAAATTGTAGGACAGAGCACAAAATTAACCCAAACATCAGTTAAGTAAAATACAAAGATAAAAACAAGCATGACTTCTACTAAGATTAGTATTAAGATAGCTTGGGTAACCAGATGTGTTTTCAGCAGGAGCTGAAGCACCATCCAAGACGGCACCTGTCATACTGCATTAGGGACAGAAGTGTCAAAGTCGGTGTCACAATAGATAAGGCTGTCAGACTTACCTGTGCAAGTGAGGAGACAACCAGTAGATTTGTAGATCTAAGTGAAAGGTTACATTGATGTGGGAATAGGTTAGAATAGTAGTACTGTTGGAAGGGTCCTATAAAGCCATTGAATCCAGCCCCCTGGTCTGCTTCCACATGTGGCCACCCATCCAGCTGCAGGCCTGTGCCTTTCCAGCTTAGCAAAGGTGACTCAACTTGCTAGCTCAATGTATAGCGATGCAGGCAGGAAATGTAGACTTGTCACAATTTGTATAGTGCTTTAAAAGTCAATAATACCGCCTTGAACTTGGCTTAGTAAAGTATTGGCAGCCAGTGCAGTTCTCTGAGCAAAAGTGTAAGCTTCTTATAGTAGGCTGCTCCATCCAGCAGGCTAATGCCAAATTCTGTGCACAGAGCTGTTTTGGGATGCATCTCAAGGGAAGTCCAAGATTGAGTGTCTTGCTCAAGGTTACAAATGCATGGTTCATCTTGGATATACCTGTCCAATCCAAGAATGGACATAGCTTTCCATGACAAAAATGGTTTAACTATGAACTGGATCTTCAGCCTCACTATCACTGAAATGTAGCCCCAAGAGCTTCTCCAAAATTGAATTTGGCTTTCAGGTTGAAATAAAATTTCCACCCAGGTGTAAATAATCTGTACATCAAAGTCTCTGTAGAATGATGTTTCTCCTTCATTTAGTCATTCTCTTTCTTCCATTTATGAAAGAGGACTTTGGGGAAGTGCTACCAGATGGTTTTTTGGGCATAGTTTTTCCATAAAATAAGTTTTAGTTGGAAATACTGTCAACAGTTTCACACTTGACATGTGTTGAAAATGGCATTCTCAAGCAGTATCTACCTACTCATTTTCAGCTTTGAGAAATAATTGGTTCTCACATTTCTTTAATTTATTTATATACCACCTAATAGCCAAGGCTCTCTTAATTCAATTAATATCTGTGAATTATATCTGGCTGTGAATTTGGTACACAGCTGTAATCCACTTCTTTATCATAGGACTTCATTGTGTGGGAAGCATCTTGATGCTTGGGATTTGCTTGAAACTAAATCATTCTCTTTCATTGATATATTTATAGCTTCATATATAGAGAGAAAAATCAAAGGGTCACTATCAAAGCCCTGGTGGTTTGAACTATGCAAATATAGATCTCTTGGGCCTAAACTGACTTATCCTATTGCTTTCTGCTTTGAGCAGAAACAGAATACCCTGTGCTGTAATCCAGTGTAAAAGCTCTCAGTGACTTCATTATGCACAATATGGCATGATTTAGATAGAAGTCTCTATCTTCGCAGGTGTCTCACCTGGGGTCAGGCCAAGTGCAACTTTGCCTTGCTTTTCTGTGACACTTTAGTTGGCAATGCCCATTGATGCAGACAGCACATTTGGTCAGGCAATTGCATGTAGGGTCAGTGTTTTTCTTCCAAGATGTGAAGCTGCTGGAAGCCAGAATGGAACCCAGTGCAGCTCCCAGTGAGGTAGGAGGTGCCTTTCTTTTCACCCTATAGCTCTGACTGAGGGAGTATCTGACAAAACACCGAGGTATTAGCTTGAAAGGTGCTTGTATCATCTTCATGGAGAGTGGAAGAACAGGGCTGCCAGATCTTTTTCTAAGGACCAAACTGATGTGACACAACACCTTTCATTTAACTAGCAGTTTGGTGATTTTTTTTAAATTAAAAGCTGGTGTTTGTGACCTAATCTAAATTGAAACTTTGGTTGGCCGTAAAAGGAGGCTGTAACCTGCTCATCTCCGCTCATCTCCGCTCCTGCACTTTTTCTGAAAGAAAATATGGTGGGCCTTGTACGGTCTGGAAACTTCTTTTAAAGGTTTCATGGAATTTGCTTGTTCTAAATACTTTCTGATGGAGGTGCCAGAAGTAAAGCGGATAAGCAAT